CGAAATCATGGAGTACATACTTAATAAAAGTAGAAAAAAGTAATTCTGATTCAGTTGTTTTGTTGTCATTCGTCGACAGGTATGTTTAATGTGGTAGGACTGATGTAAAAATGTGCATAAGTGCAGCCGTTAAGCATCAAATAAGTGGTGCCCTCAAAGTTGCAGGAATGTTGTCAACAATGGTTGCAGTACAGTTTCTAAATGGTTGCAGTACAAGTTGCAGTAACGTTCCCCAAATGTTTTAGTACCGTACCAAATTAGTTGCTAAAACGTACCTCCAATGTTGTAGTATTGTACTCACGACGTTGCAGTAACGTCACTGGAATGTTACATTAACGTGACTACAACGTTGCATAGACTTGCCCACAGGGTTGCAAATAGGTTTCAATATCGTGCTCATCAAGTTGTAATCACGTCCCAAAGAGGTTACATACGCGTATCTACAACTACAGTTAGCTACTATGTTCCAAATGTGTTGCAATGCAGTGTCATATACGTTGCATTTAAGAAGCTGCATAGTTGTATTGACGTACCCACAAGTTGCACAAACGTCCTCGCCAAGGTTGCAGTAGTGTGGCTGTTAAGTCGTGGTCGGGTTCCTACAGGGTTGTAAAGACGTATCTGTTACGTGCCCATTAAGTTGCCAAAACGTTGTGCCTTGGTAAGAATCAGGTCGTAAATATGTTGCTATTACGTGCCCAAATGTTGTAAAAACGTGGTATTTCGGTTGTCTGAGGGTTGCAGCATTGTTGTGGACACGTCAAAACATCATGTTGTATTGACGTTGTAAAAACGTCTTCATAACGTTGTGTGATAACGTTGTGGCAGCGAAACTGGGAGTCGACATTTTTACGTCGCTACAACGTCACTTTTGTAACGTTGCGGAAACGAAAACGTGACCTTGTGGCAACGTCGTCACAACGTCAAATTGTTAGCTGGGTAAGAAGTAAATAAGACAAAATCAGACTAGAGCTACGTTGGACAAGATACAATCCGACATCTGAAGATAGCTGGAAAAAGTAGTCGGCGTTGAGGAATCTGGGAGAGACAAGTGCAGACAGGAGAAGAAAGATTCCAGAGTTGAAAGGAAAACATGCAGATCTGGTGACCGTCAAAAATTCCGAAATCCTCGATTTGGAGCTAGAAAATAGGAGAGAGAAAGGAATATTTTTCCCTTTGGTTTTATGGACTACTACATTACAGTAACGTTTGTTTCGACAAAACGCAAGCATATCTATCATCAAGAAACGTGCATACTGTACCTGTCCTAGTGTTTGCATTAGCAAAGTTAAGGCGCATGAGCAAAGCAAAGCGGCATTAAATTTGTCAAAAGAGAGCTTTGCTTTTTCTACATTGAAAACATACGGTGAGATTTTGCTTACCTTATCTCCATGTGCCTGGTACGTACCAAAAAGCGGTCATTATATGAGCACATCCACAAATTTTAAATTGTTCAAAGGCGATAGTCACATCAGTAAACAATACACGCTCATTTCATCACATAGTACAGGTTGTGTCATGCACTTGTATCCTCAAGGACAGTAGCGATGTTTAACTTTAAGATTCCGTACGCGGGCTTCGCTGGTAGAACTCAAACACTTGACTTTATATTATACAGGGGTCCTTTTGTAGTCTGATAGGTGTATGAAAAGCTGAAATTCAGGGTCAACATCTAAATAAAACGAGCTGAAATTTGTTAAAAAGTTGAAAGAAAAAATAAAATCCAAAAACATATTGTACAAGGCTTGCTGCTTTGTACGTTCGGTGCGAATTTGGTTTTGTTGATTGGCAGCTCTCACTACGCAATGGGTAGTCTGCATAACGTTTATGTGGATCTAACAAAGGAGGCATTGTTGCGATAACAACGGACATTCATTCATGTTCGCAGTGACACACCCCCGCAGAGATACTCCATGTGAAACAGGGCCCAATTTCATGGCGCTAGCGCGGGTTACCGAACTGCAAAATTCCCTGCTCACAATCTCCATTTGATCTACGCTAACCGCGCAATCAGAAAATTTCTGCGCTAACCCTTTTAAGCACAGAATCATTAGTTGCGGGATGTAAATTTATTTCGTCCAATTGTTGCAGGCGCACACATGAGCAACGCAGTACATTTTTTATTGAATAATAAAAATGTTGAATTGAATTCATTTTGAGCATTACTTATAAAATTTACATTCTATTTGACTATCATATGGTGTAGGAGCAAGGTGAATTATGGCAGTGGGGCTATTGTTTGAGTGCAAGAAGAGTAGGTGACACACGTGTAGATTTTTAATCGATGACGCCGCTCAAAATTACGCGCATTTATGGCAACATTCAAAAGAAATCCACAAAATGAAGCAAAAATAATTAATAAAAGTGGCACGCTACTTGTTTCTCCAGCTGAAAAGTGTAACTTTGTTACTTGAAAGGCTTCCATTATGCATCATCCGGTTAAACGGGCATTGTGAGAACGGTTTCATCAATGTGAAATGATGGACAAATACCTTTTGCTGTATAAACTGGCAACTGGTCCAACCTTTGAATATGTACCGCTGGCAATTGTATCTGGAGACCATTTTTAACATGTTTGGTACATTAAAATATATTCACATTGTTCAAAGGCGATAGTCACATCAGTAAACAACACACGCTCATCGTAAATGACGTCACATTTACAGTTGTATCCTCCAGGACTGTACAGACGTTTAAGATTCCGTACGCGTTTCGCTGGTATAACCCAAACACTGAATAGAAATGACTTTTATTACACATGGTTGTGAGTGGCCACTTAAAATTGAGGCTGAAATCAGCTAGCGAAAACCTGAAATGTAAGGAGTTCCCATACTTTTGTACAGACCGGGTGTAAAAAAGCTGACATTCAGGGTCAACAACTAAAACAAAAGTTGAAAATAGCTAAAAAGTTGAATTCTCACACTCCTGACTATAAAATCCCCTACAAGGCTTGTTGCGTAAATCTGTTAGGTAGGAATGTGGTTTTGCAAGGGCTGTAATATAAACATGTTTGTTTATGGGCTACTATAGAAACGCAACAAACATCGGCGTATTAAAGAATAGGAGCTGTGCATATGGACCTCCCGCGACAAACCTCCTGACACTATCGATCATCTAACAAAAGACGGATGGTGCAATTACAATGGACGTTCATTAATGTTCGTAGTGGGATAGCATCCCCGCAAAGACCCTCTCCCTGTGAGACGGATCTTTGCGTCATACTATAAACATTACTCATTTCTGATTTAATGTATTTTTGTCTTGTTGAATATGTCATTGTGCTCACTGCAAATCGCCCGGAGGTTACTTTAAACTGAGCCTTTGCCAAATCCATTTATTATCACTTTTATTAATATTATGAGAAAAGTCACTGCGTTTCAGAAACAGTGCCTGTTCCCTATCGTGAGAGGGACCCTATAATTAGCATATCCTGGGAAATGTTGCATGGGCGCATGGGGAAAGGTTCAGAGAGCGGGAATTTCCAGGAGGGAGTCCAGCCCGTCACATCTTTTTTTATTGATTCATTTATTTGATTTCATTTATTTATATTCACAGATTTATTTATATTATTTATTTGTATTTGTTTATTTATGTGAGTGACCTCTGCAAGTGGTGGGATCTGGGCAAAAATACAGCGGTAGACTTGCCCCTGGAAAGCGTGCGACCTTTTCCCGCTTGAATTCCAATATCGAAGAACTTCAATCAACGCCAGACCTCACGCCGGATATTAAGAACGTCCCAACTTCAAGGATCAGCGTAATGAACTAAACGGTTTCCTTAAAAATCAAGCACAGGGCGCCCACGTCCGTTCTCGTTTTCAACACGTTTATGAGATTGATACCAGTTCTGGTTACTTTTTGAACCGCGAAAATTTTTATTCTCTGTCTAAACCTCCCTGCAGCGTTCGTTTTGCAAATTGCAGTACATGTATCACCGGGGAGGACGACAAAATAAAGCCACACTGCCGTCCATCACGCATGATCAGGTTTGACGAGCAGATAGAATAGTTTCATTAACGCGAAAGGGACAAATACCTTTTGCTGTATAAACCAGCAACTTATCCATTTAAACCCCAGAATATGTACCGATGGCATTATATCTGGGGACTGCTTTTAACACGTTGTGTTCATTTACAAGGACAACTCTTTTTTCTCTACGTTCACGTGAATTTAAAGAAGTCATTGTAACGGATTTAATTCCAATTTAACTCCCACGTGGCTTATTGTTATAGATGTCCCTGTTCTTTGCCTCAATGCCCATTGGAACGTTCCCGAAGACGTTTCCCATTTTATTTTCTCATCCCCCAAAAGAAAAAAATTCCCGAAAAGAGAATTTGTTCCCGACCAGCCCTTATCCATGACCCGGAGCGCTTAACAAAACGACAGCTGCGTAGAGTCTGACGCATCAAACTCGTGTAGGTTTTAAAATTGTCCGCGTACTTTTTTCGCCGAAAATTCAGGAGCTGTCGTCAGGGCTCGGGCGATTCATATACAAAGCTGTTACGGCTATCCTCATCTGTCGTTACTCTGCAAAGTTCTGTGATCTGCATATACTCAAAGTGGAAGGACACTCAGTTCCTTGCGCAGTGTCATTTTAATGGATTACTTTTAATACACAATTCTTGGTTTGATATACGAGTATTTCTATATCTATTCACTTGTAAATGAGTTAATTTATACAAAATAACACTGGTGTTAATAACAGCATGAACCGCCAAGGCACTCCCAGTATGCCACTTTGGGCATGCACCATCAGTTTTGCCCAGTTAAGGACCTTCATGTACATTGTATTCAAATGATATCTTCATCTGTCATTTACATCTTTTGTGCCACACACCACATTTGAAACCAGCTAAGAGTCTTTGTTTCATTTACAATTTTAATCTATTGTGTGGTAATGCCTGACCTCAGAAAAGCGTACAGCAGGTTGACACGTCTTATAATGTGCACTTAGGCTTATTTGATGTCGCTGACTAGCATGATAGCCTACGGACAGCACGACGACTATTACCCGGGTTACAAACTGAGTCAGTACTTTACGGTGGTATAACGCTTGTACACGCACAGGACATGCGTGCGCGTTAAATAATTAAAAAACAGCTCCTCAGTTAGTGGGTCTGGTTCCCAGACCAATGATGCCGAAGGGAGCTACAAGAGAGGAACATTAAGGTCGAGTTTGGTTGGTTGCCACAGTTACAGAGTTTAAACAGGTTTCCAAATATCAACGGTGTGTTGTTTTCTGTGACTAGTCGTTGTCATAATACCTTTTGTACCCGAATTAAAGACACTGTGACAATTAAGCTCTGTTCCATCAGCAAACACGAGCCACCTCGCGCTGGCTGCTACATGTATAATGTACACGGAGAATGAAACATCAAGCGTCATAGCAACAGCGACAGGAATTACACAGGCTAAAAGGGCCCCAAGGTCTATTTTGACTAATCGAGCCATATATATAATCCTCGTTCATACGCGAAGCAATTATAACTTCACGGTCTGTTCATCTAATGATTGTCGGTAGGCGCCAATCACCATTACGACGGGTACACGTGAAACGCAGCAACACCACCACAACCTTCAGACACCAACGATGAAATGCACAGACCCTACACAGTATCGACCACTTTAAACAATGCCAGACGCATTCAAACCATCACGGAACACATGCATACTTGGTAGATGAAAGTCACGTACACATGTACACTCTATACATGTAGAAACCAGAATACATGCGACAAGAACCCTTCATTAGATAAAACATCGTAGACCCACTTTTCGTGTCGCCCGCCTCGTGCTAATCACTCCCACAGACTACCACAGCGGCCCGAAACGTACATTTTTTTAAACTGCGCATGTAAAATAAACATTCCTATGGATTTGATCGACCTACGTATATACCTGTGATAAACGATAACTCAAAATAAAACACAGTAAAATGTTCAGGCCGAACTTTCATCTTTATCCAAAGTCTTCGGCGTTTATCCTTGGACCGTTCACCGCTGATTAGAACAAATTACCCAACGTATCTACATTGTAAGTTTACTTATTTATTTGGCACTGCAGCATGATTGGCCTGAATTTCCAATTAATCCGTACAGTATAAATGAATACTCACTTGCTGCATTATGATCATGTGATTTCAAATAACGTTTCCTACACAATCCAGATGGATACCTAAATAATAGTACTCATTTATGAAGGTGTACGTATTGGATCACGTAAATTACATGCACATTGATTGTGTAATGTGACATTATGCAGGGACAACTCTCAAACAATCATGCATCCATACAGGAAATTTTACGGAGTTAAAACGTCTTTCCGTAATTGTGTGCGTTGCGTACTTGATGCGTTCATGCGTTGGACTTTCATGGACACAAAAATCAACTCCATTAACATGACAATACACGTGTGCGTTGCGTTCGGCCGTCAAAATCGCCCCGGGAGCGATTCAGACATACACGCAACGATTGGCGCGAGTGGCCTATACATATATACCAATTTAAAATGTGTTTCCTTCAGCGGGACAAACGGAGATTTGATTGGTCGGAATCTGCGTGTTTCTGTAAGAACTCATTCATTCAAGAGTGCCAATTAAAAATGACTACCATACATGTACGTGCAATTTTGCCATTGTTTAAGCAGGTTCTATGTAACGATCTTGAATCCGACCGAGTCTTCAATTTGTCAAAGCACTCTCCATTAGTAAGTTAACTTTTCGTCGTTCAACTCGCGCCTGTATGAAAAACCAATCCTCGGTTCATTCACAGTATAACGCAAAACACTGGCCGTCCAAGGAAAGGGATAACTGATCCACTGCGCATGCCCTTACACAACATTAGAAACAAGAAAGTATCACCATTACTGAATATAATCTATATGAAGAAACAGAAATAGGATAAGAGAGTCCGAATTCTTGGACTCGGACCCACGGGTTCACCTGTGACTGTGTGAGCTGGCGAACGTGAGAGTGAAGCCTTTGAGGACTACAATCTTAGGGTGGGGTTTGAGATGGACTTCGGACTTTTGTGCGACTGATCATGACCTATCTTGCACTGACGTGACTGTCTTTGGAGAGTCTGGTGATGCGCATGTACCTGACTTGTGATGGGCTCAGATCTGGCTTGTGATAGAATCGAGATTAACTTGTGATAGACGTGAGTGACTAGAGACTGACTTGTGATGGTCTTGGGATTGGCTTGTGATGGACTTGTGACTGACTTGAGATGGTCTTCAGATTGGCCTGGGATAGACTTGCAACTGATTTGTGATGGCTTCAAACATGTCTTGTGCTAGACATGTTTCAACCTTGAGACTGACTTTTGGTTTTGAGGTTGGCTTTTGAGTCTTGCAACTGATTACGACTGACTGGTCTTGTTACTGGCTTATGCTAGACTTGTGACAACCTTCTGATTGACTTGCAAATGACTGAGACTGACTTGTGATGGTCTTGACCGAGATTGACTTGTGATGGTCTTGAATCGACTTGTGGTAGACCTGTGACTGAATTGAGATTTGATTTGTGATGACCTCAAGATTCACTTTTGATTAGTGACAGTATCGAGATTGAACTGCGATAACTTGTGACCAAGATGAAGTTTATTTGCAATTTACTTGCAACGATCTTAACTTTGTCTACTGAAGGGTTTGTGACCGAGCAGGGATCAGCTGCACAGGCGTGAGACTAAATCTTGACTGACTCATGATCGACTTGCAATTCACTTGTGACTGGCTTGGGAATGGTATTCGAGTGGTTTGAAAGTGATGTCGTGAAATTGACTTGATTTTAATGAAACTAATTCACGGTCTCGACTTCAACGTGATTGTTTCGAGATTGACTTACTTTAAAAGTGGACACTATTTCAACAACCTCACCACGTGCACCATCGGCACAACAGATAGCGCTGCACATGCAATGTTTGCCGGGGGAGGGCTGTCAATACACATGCAACTATGATTCAGAGTTGGCAGTCGCAGACAGGCATCTCACTAAAGAAGCACATTTTGTACAATTAAGCTACTATGCACCTAAATACACAGACATGACAGTTTTTTACAAATGCTACAGAAATACCCTTGGAGATGAATCTTTTTTATTTCACGTAGAGAGGTGCTGTTATGACAATCAGATTTTTTCGACGACACCTCCTAGACCCTACTTCTGGCCAGGCTGACACATGGGCTCATGCGACAACCTCTGAACAGCCACTGTTGCACTGTCAGTTGCACCTAAGTATCTCCTGCTTAGCTCCCTGCTATTTACACACAGCCCACAAAACGAATATCCACACTGTAGCACTGTTTTCCTCTGAACGCACTCCCCAAGCTCTTTCAGAGATCAGCAACTCCTCGCGAAGAATGCAAACGCACACCCCTTGCTCACCTGAGATATTTCTCTTATCCTCGTACGAGGGACTGTCCACATTCTACGAGGTGGTTGGTCACCTCGACGTGGGAGGCTTTTGGCAACGGGCTGCAACGACACTGGCAATGAGGTTGGAAGTTGTTGCCAACCTTTTGCAGAAACTCTGCAGTGTGATCGCCTTGTTCCCATTCTTCCTGCTTCTGTTATTCTCCAAGTCTCTGCACCTCCTACACCCAACTGCAAAGGGCAACGCCGTCACAGAAACAAAGTCACCTTCGTTGTAGTCTCCTGTTTCACTTCCCAAACATACAAATTCTTATCCACGCAGCTTCCACAGCAGCACCATTCTTCTGCGGCCAATGGCTCACAGTTTTGAGAGAAAGATTACAGTAATAATTCACAAGGTTAGATAGATGACTCTTTACAATATGTACATTGGCCATTTTAACTTCAGCTGTGCCGATAATTTATTCCCAGAAATGGTGAGGCCTGAGTACCTTTGGTGCCCTGTGACAAACCCCACAACCTGGGAAGTTGCCCCGCAACTTCCCCAAGCACTGCAGTCCGAGGTTCAGATGGGCACTGTAGATACGCGTATGTGATGGGTGCATCTACAAACCCAGGACCTCGTCAGGTTACCCTCTGCTGACTCCACTCTGTCCACAGATTCAGGTGAGACCTGTGGAGCATGCATGGAGCAGACAGCACATGTAATGAAACATGTCAGTGACCTGCATGCACAAAAGGAGTACCCTTGTTTATTGCTGCTCTGAGCCCACTGGAAGAGATGCCTCTGCCAGCTGCAGACTGGTGTCTTTGAACTACTCCTATCAATCTGCCCAAGGCCCTCCGGGATCCAGACCTCAACCATGGACATGGCACTCTGCCCCTACGACGCACTGGCCAGTGTCGGGTCCTCAAGTATCCTCCCGAGGCGTTGCTCCAACTGCACAAAT